CCCATCCTACTATCTAGATGAAAGATTATGTTGCTCCAAGATGTTATACTCACTCTCAGAGCAACTATGTATCCTATGATAATGTGACTTCTCATTATAAAACATATTTGTCTAAGTTATCCACTGACATTGAGCCCATAAACTATGAGGAGGCAGTGAAGGACACAAGATAGGTGGAAGCTATGTAGCATGAGATTCAAGCATTAGAGGAGAATGGAACTTGGAAAATAGTTCCACTGCCAGTGGAAAGGCAACTATACGTTGTAAATGGGTTTTCAAAATCAAATATAAAGTTGATGGTGAAGTTGATAGGTTTAAAGCTAAAAGGTATAGTCAAACTGAGGGGATTGATTATCAAGAGACCTTTTCTCATGTTGTGAAGATGGTAACTATGAGATCAATCATAGCCTTAGCAGCAGCTGAAAACTGGAAAATTTATCAGATGGATGTATTCAATGTCTCCAAGGTGATTTGTTTGAGGAGATTTACATGGAACTACCTAAAGGGTTCTGTAGCATAGGAAAGGATAAGAACCTTGTCTATAAACTTGTTAAGTCTCTCTATGGACTTAAGCAAGCATCAAGACAATGGAATGCAAAATTGACTGAGGCATTGTCCATTTCAGGTTACACACAAAGTCATCTAGATTACTCTTTATTCACAAAAAGAAGAGGATCTAGAATGGTGATAATCCTAGTATATGTTGATGACCTGTTAATTACAGGTAATGATATTGGATTAATAGAAGAAACCAAGCATGTATTGCATAGTCATTTCAAGATTAAAGATTTAGGTGAACTCAAGTATTTCTTGGGAATTTAATTTTTAAGGTCTAGAAAGGGAATTGTGATGAATCAAAGGAATTATGCCCTTGAGTTGATAGCTGAGGCAGGACTGGGGAATGCTAAACCAAATGTAACACCTTTGGAATGTAACATGAAGTTGACCAGTATAGAGTATGATCAGAATGCTCAAACCACTGATGTTTATCAAAGACTTGTGGGCAAGCTACTATACCTTACCAACACAAGGCCAGATATAGCTTTTGCAGTACAGTCCTTGAGCTAATTCATGCAATGACCAAAGATGTCACACTGGATTGTTGCCTTAAGAGTAATCAAATATATCAAAGTTGAACCTGGAAGAGGATTATTAATGAGTTCTGATAGCAAGCTCCATTTGATAGGTTATTGTGATGCAGATTGAGTTGCATGTCCAAGTATTAGAAGGTCTGTAATAGGGTTTGTATTGAAATATGGTGATTCGCCCATATCTTGGATGTCAAAGAAGCAAAATACAGTGTCAAGAAGCTCTGCATAGGCTGAGTACAGGAGTCTAGCTAGCCTGACAACTGAAGTGGTGTGGATTGCATATACAAGGAACTAAAAGTAAAGTTGATTGAACCAACTTCTATATATTGTGATAGCAAGGCTGCTATACAAATTGCTGCAAATCCTGTGTTTCATGAGTGTACTAAGCACATCGAGATTGATTGCCATTTCATTCGAGAGAAAATTCAAAAAGGTCTCATTCAAACCATCTATGTCAACACTAAGGATCAGCAGGCTAATTTGCTAACTAAGGCACTAGAAAGATCACAACATGACTTCTAGACAGCTTGGAGTATTGAATCTCGTCAGTACATCCAGCTTGAAGAGGAGTATTGGAATTGGTTAAGTGATTGATCAATTATGTTAGATAGGTCGTTAATTGATTAACTATGTTAATTGGTGAAATGGTTAGCTTAGGTGTTTAATTAACCAGCCTGATTAATGATCAGTTAGGAGTTAGTTAGTTTGTTAATATTGTAGCTGCAACACCTGTATAGAATGCATTGTATAAATACCCACATCTGTAACTAACTCACATAAGCTTTGAATGAATGTGAGCTTCTTCTTCTTCAATATGATTCTTTCTGTAAATCTCAATAGTTTATAAAGATAAATTTATTTCAAATGCAGTATGAATTCTTTATTTCAAGCTTATTTATGAGATATTCCATCTTATTTATCGAGTAAATATATCTTTAATTCTATTATGTATCAATAAGATTTCTCTACTTACATTTTTTTTCTTATAAAATCATTCAATCAAATTTGTCATAAAAAATCTCCTTAACATCTTGAAATAGGGGTGTACAAAACCGAACCGAAAATCGAACCAAACCGCAAACCGAGAAAAAAAACCCGACTAGTGGTTGGTTTGACTTGGTTTGGTATTGAAAAAAAAAACCGACTATATTTGGGTTGGTTTGGTTTTAACTAAAAAAAACCAACCCGAGACCAAACCAACCCGACATTATATATATAATTTTAAAATTTTATTTTATACATAAAAATATTTACTTTAATATAATTTTTAACTATTTCTTATACTTTTTCATAGTTTTTATCTTTTAATATATTATTTCAAATTTGAAACTTAGAATTCTAAATGGTTCAATAAAGATTATAGTCCACAGATGTTGGTAATTATAATAAAGCTTAAATCAAAATCAAATTAATACTAATGCAAAATGAAAATCAATTCAACAGTAAGAATGACAATAATATTGAATATTTGTTCTTTGGTTTTACATTGGTTTAGACAATTCAAATACATAATCTAATTTAATTTCCTTTAATATTTAGTCATGTAACTAATACTTATTAAACTTATTTTAGCATGATTTAGTACTTTAAAATTATGATCATTTTCATTATGACTTGTTAATTTGCAATATTTGTTTTACGTGATTTCATTATTATTATTTTTGTTGTTGGATATTTTAGTGTCATTATTCATATCATATTTTGTGTTATTTTCTCAAGAAACACCTTAGATAGTTGTATTTTGGTAGGACTAAAGAAATATTTGAAGTATAAGTAAATTACATGTTTGTATGAATACTTTACCGGAAAAACCCAAAAATCCGAAAAACCCGAGATTGAAAAATCTGAGTTTTATTGGTTTGGTTTGATATTTGAAAAACCCGAACCAACCTGGTCATGTACACCCCTACTCCTAAGGTAAGGGGTTTTAGCTAAGCATATATAGTGAAAAGCAAGAAATCGTTACCAACAAAATTTCCATCTGATTTGCTAACGATCTGCAATCCCCAAATGTGAAATCGAAGCTAAAATCTTATAATCTCCAAATCTAAATCCAAAACTCTACTAAGAATGTTAAACAATGTTCAAAATGTAAAGACTCTCAAAAACCCATGAGTAAACAGTGTGGGAACTACTTTTCTTCTTTTAAAAATTACATTTATACGTTCCCAAAAACTCAGAATGGAGTCAACTCAGTGAAGTAAGTCGGATTGCCGACCCATTCGGCGATCCGCCGAATTGCTCTTCTTCTCGCCTTTCGGCTTGGTTCCTCCATCAAAATGTTCTGGAACTTTTGGCGAGCTTGATCATTGTTGTCGATCCATTCGGCGCGTCGCCGAATCACCGTTTTGCTCGCCAAGTTGGTTTGGTTCATGGGCTACTTCGCTGAAAATTTAGGCGAGATGGAGGCCCACTCGGCGAGTCACTGAGTGGTTTTTGCGAGCTTCAACTTTTCGCATTGTAAAGTTCTTGCCTCACTCTTAAGCTTTCATTTCTGCATATCAACATATTAACTTAGTTATGAGTGAAAAATAGGCATTTAGGACACTAAATCATTGAGTAACAAGCCTTAAATGAGTCGAAATTATCGACTCATCAACTTGCTGAAAGATATGATCGTTTGAAGTTGACCTAAGTAGAATCTTATATCAAAACTTAATTTATAAGGAAGCTTTCAATTCAAGTTTGTGCTAGTGGATTCTTGTGACCTTAATTCATGTCCAAATCTATTCCACACTAAAGAATTCACTTTAACACCTAAGCACAATTTAAAAATCACGTGATATGATGTTATACGCAACTGAAGAATGATTTAAGTCTTAGCTTAGAACTTTTTGAGGTGTTACATGAGTATCATAATCAGCCTATTCAAATAGCTTTTTTGTTATATGTCAAATAGTTAGACATTCGATGAACCTGCAAAATTGGATAGTAAAATATAGTTTGGTAATTAAGATGATGAGTTACATTTTATATTATTATTTCTAAATACCAAATACCGTATCGAATACCAAAAAAAATAAAAATGTATACCATATATCATATATCATACCAAATACCATAATACCAAAATCACGGTATTAAAATTTTCGTTATAGTATAGTAATTAGGTATATACCATACCATGCCCACCCCTACTTGCAAGTGAAATGCAACGTTAGGAATTGTTTGGCCGTATACTTTTATTTTATTGTCCTCGTAGAAGCAAAGACGTTCACAAAATTGCTTCACAGAGAATTTGAAAAGATATCCCTTTTTTATGTTGTGATAATTGTATTCTAAATGGAATAAACACATTTCTAATTGCAAAAATATCTAATTATTATTTTGAGATGTGTGTTGTTATTAAAACTTTTACCTATCATTCTTGTGTCGTTACTTTAGCCATTTGAACGTTCAAATTCCGGAGTAACATGATGGATGTATTCTACTTCAAAATTAATCTATCGGAAAATTTCTAACTTAAAAATAAACGACACTTTTTTATAAATATTATTATTTTAAAAAATACACATAATTTTTTCGGGTAGGTTTATAATCTGTGTGGTTTTTTTTTAAAAATCAAATGGGTTTTAGAAATTTGGCTGAATTAATGACGTGGCTGAATCATCATTTGTCACATGGATAAAATGGTTTTGCAAAACTAGATGGGTTTTCTATTAACCCATAATGGCATGAATGAGCCTTTTTTCATATGGAAATTGCATAGATGAACCAAACTTTTAATGGATAATATAAATAAGTCTTTTTTAAAAAAATTGATGGCATATTTGAGCCTTTTCTGATAAATAAATGAAGCAAGCAATAGCATTCTAAAAGGATAAGATTATCAAAGTGTGTGGTTTAAAATACAGGACTTGTGCCTGTAAATATAACTAAATGGGGTTTAGAGTATTTTGTTCTAACTCAATGACTTTGATATGGGGAACTCTAGTGGTTTTTCTATTTGTATATTCCTTGTATGTGCTACTAAACATTCACAAGAGGAAAAGGTTTCCTCCAAGTCCAACAGGCTTTCCCATTTTAGGACATCTTCATTTGTTAGCTGGTAAAAATCCACACAATGATTTACAAAAACTAGCCAAGAAACATGGTCCTATTATGTATGTGCAATTGGGACTGGTACCTGCAATCGTTGCCTCGTCTGTTGATGCAGTCGAGAAGTTCCTCAAGACAAATGATCACATCTTTGCTAGTAGGCCTCATAGTGAGGCATCTCAATATTTGTCTTATGGACAGAAGAATTTGATATTTGCAAAGTATGGTGTGTATTGGCGCAACATGCGCAAATTGTGCACTGTTCACCTTTTAAGCAATCACAAGATCAATTCATTTCAATCCATGAGAAAGCAAGAAGTTCAACTTCTGATTGAATCGATTAAAAAGGAAGCTCATGATCGTGTAGTTGTTGATCTTAGTGCAAGGATTTTGTCCTTGAATGCTAACTTGACTTGCTTGATGATGTTTGGAAAGAAGTACATGGATGAGGACTTAGACAAGAGGGGATTCAAAGCTATTGTTCAAGATGTTGTGGATTTAGTATCCACACCAAATCTTGGAGATTTTTTTCCTTTCCTTGGAGTTATTGATCTCCAGGGTCTCAATCGCAAACTCAAGGATCTTTCAAAGGTGTTTGATGAGTTTCTTGAGAGGATTATTGATGAACATGTCGAGTATCATGATCGGGATCAAACCAAGGACTTTGTGGACACCATGATGGACATAATGCAATCTGGAGAAGCAGAATTTCAGTTTGACCGTCGTCACATAAAAGCTATCCTCTTGGTATATATGTACTTTCATCCCATTTATAAGTCATATATACTAGTATAAGCTTAATGTATAACAAATTCCCCTGTTTCCTTTTATATACAGGACATGCTTCTGGCTGCAATGGACACTACAGCATCAACAGCAGAATGGATACTCACCGAACTTCTTAGGCATCCCCAAGTGATGAAGAAACTCCAAAACGAGTTGCAAGAAGTGGTAGGCCTTGAAAGAATGGTAGAAGAATCAGACTTGGAGAACTTAAACTACTTAAACATGGTTGTAAATGAGGGCCTGAGGCTGCATCCTGCAGTGCCACTATTTTTTCATGAGGCCATGGAAGATTGTGTAGTCGATGATTTCCACATACAGAAGGGATCCCGAATCATAATAAATTGTTACGCGATTCATAGGGATCCAAACGTTTGGCCAGACCCTGAGAAGTTTTTTCCTGGGAGATTTGTTGGGACACTACACCAAAAGAGACCTTTAGCGGCAATTGATTTTTCTTTTAGCGGCAATAGTTATTGCCACAAATACATTTACCGGCATTTGATTAAATGCCATTGGATCCAATGTCGCTAAAGCCTTTAGTGACATTTATGTCGGGTACCGGTAAAGACCCTCATTATTGCCACTAAAAGTTATTACTTTTAGCGGCTTTTATTTAGCTGCATTTACTATTGCCAGGGCCGGCTCTATGTATATTTTAATAAGGCATTGGCCTTAGGCCCCCAATTTCAGGGGGCCTCAATTTTTTACCAAGAATAAATTATGTGTTAAATTTTATAGAAAAAATATTGATTATTTACGATAAAAAGTAGTATATATTTAAAATTATTATTTTATTCTCTTCAACCCCATTCAAATAGAAGAAATCAAGAAAATATTGTTTTATTTTCTTCCACTCTCTACTAATACTCACATTATTTTCTTTTTAACTCCTTTTACACTCTCTTCTTTAAATTGTTGATAAGTTAGAGTAATATTCTATCAAAAACATCAATTAATAGTCGAAAAGTGTTGAACAAATTGAATGGTAAATTCTTTTTCCATTTCTTCTTAGATTTTCAAGCATTACAACAACCATAGTAAAATGTGGGGTAACCAAATTATCAACTTCATCAAAGCTATGGTTCTAACTCTTATATTTATTTGAAATTTGTCAACTTATTACTTGTAGAACTATGTTAACAATTCATAAAATGATTGCCCGAGTAAAATAATATTTTTCAACTTTGAATTAATAAAATCTTATTTAAAACTAATAATTGAAAAAGAAATCGAATAAATCATATATATAAAAAAATATTAAGTAATACTTTGCATTTAAAAATGAAAGAAAAATAAATTTTAAATAAATGCATGTGAAGTTTATTTAGATTTTAGGCCTCTAATTAAGATTTCGCTTTAGGCCTCCGATTTCGTTGAGCCGCCCCTGACTATTGCCATTAAAGCTACTTTAGAAACAAGCATATTTGTGGCATTTAAATTCACCTAATTCACATATTTACCCTCTTTTATAACATCAAAAACAAAATTCACAGGAGAAATAAGTTCGAAAGTAGTAAAGAAGAATTATCAAACTCAAAACAATGTCATTCACTTAAAATAAGAACAAACAATCTTAATACATTCAATTTCATCTTGTAGCGGTAAAAGAAACTATGAATTATCAAAATAGAAAAAATGTGTTCAACAATGGAAACAATAAGGCAATTAAGCCAGTGTTTGTTCCCTAATGCAAAATGTGACAGCTTTCTGGATCAGTGTGTCAGTCATTCCTTGAACAAGCGTATGCCACTGTACACATATAGCGGTAGATGGTTAGACGACAAAAAATTGACATGCCAATTACATATCTTACTCTCTAAGATCTAGGTGGCTAAAATTTGAAATAGAGACAGAATAGAAAAGCACCACCCATGGTCCCGTCATGTACCTAGTTCAGATATAATATTTCATATCACAACTAAGGAATCAATTGACATGCAACAACCTCGTTAGCAAGAGGAATAAACTAAAGTAATGCCTTTTCAAATCCACCAAGCAGTTCATATATATGACGTCCTGGCAAGTCTAAAGTAGTGTGTTACTACACACCAACTCAAACACTAAGGTTCAGGAAACATTTACCGTCAAGCAAAATCTCAGAAAATATTAACAATCTCATAATAACTTTTAACTAGTTGATTATACTCCAATGCTTGACATATGACTTATCAAGAAATTAAAATCAAACTAAGTAGCAAATAGAGAACGGTTGGTTCTGATACTTGAAACTAGCAACCACCATCAATAATGGAATTTTTGTTCAAGTTAACTACCTTAATCAATAATAAGAATTTTTGTTCAAAGAGCACCATCAAAAGCAATAGATACAACCTCACCCACTATCATACAAACTCGGATACAACAACTTGTGATGCTGTAATTAACACAGTACAGGAGAATATTAAGATTGAGCTCTGAATTGACACATTTGGAAGATCACTAAGTAACTACGAATGAACCTGAAGGAAGTTCTTCATCATGGTGATGTATCCTCATGTCTGCTCTTCATTCCTTCAATCAAAGAACTACCTATATACAAAGAGAACAGGTAGTTTTAGTTAGTTTCACTTGCCCTGACTCGAAAAAATCTGAAATTCAACATACTCCATCAAGACATTAGCATTTACACCCCTCCATCTTGATCCCTTAAAAGCACTTAACCTAGTGAAACAATGAAATTACATTATTCCTACATTAGCATCCTTTATAATCCAATTCTTTCAATAAACAGAACCACTCGTTTAACATACTTGACTTCTATTAAGAGCCCTTTTGATTGATAAAGAAATAAGACATTTACACTAAGAATAACAGAAAATAGCTTGGATAAAGAAGGAGGGATCCAATGGATTGACAACCAACATGAAGTTAATTGATTTATGATGAACCCACACAAAATGGTATTACATTAACAATTGACACATAATGAGATTAAACTAGGAATACAAAAACAAGTACAAGCCATAATAATATGAGATACATACAGGTTACTCATGCCCAGTATTTTGGTCTTCTAAGTTCAGCACCCAAAGTAACATCAATAGAACGAACAGAAGTGTAGGAAGATTACAAGCAAAGTGATACTTAGTCCTTCTGGGAATATATTGCTCATTGTATGAAATACAGCTGTACAGTGTGCAAATGAGCTGGAGCAGACCAATCAATACCTATGTTAATGTTCATCGAATTTCTAGAAGGAATACGAGTGAAAAAATGTAGGTACATTAGGAACTTGAATATCATATTTTGCATAAGTGCACGAAGTCTCAAGTTCACCGCATAAAACTGTAAAAGTACACTCTATTGATTCACTAGCCTGACTTCGGCAGCAGAGATCACAAAAAGATTTAGCCTAGTAATTGAAAATTTGAGTTTTATATGAATAAATATAGTTTCAATTAACTACTAAGTTTAGTTGTTTACCTTCAAATAGGAGATCAAAAATCGAACTCCACAACAACTAATTTGGTTGCTATCTGCAATTTTGCACCAATTTTATTGGACACAAGATCAGACTATGCGATATAGAAACACATGCATCAATTCAAACAACATAAAAGATAGAACTCTAGAACATACACCCATACAAGGCCCAACAATTGAATAAAATGGATATTAGTAGTCACCAAACGGCATGGCCGTACAGTTCGAATTCAATCCGATTGAATATGAGGCAGTCGGCGATGATGAATTTGCTAATATGAATACAAACTGTTGACGGTGAGCTTGTGAAGAGACTTCGATGGCTTTGATTCGTCTTTCTTCTCATCAATAGCACTAAAGTACTGAACTCTGCCGCCGCTGTGCCGAACTCCACCGCTGTTGTGCCGATTTCCGCCGCCGTTGTGTTGATTTCCATTGCTGACCATTTGAGTTTCATTGAAGGGAGAAGACGGAGGAATATTCAAAGTAAAAAGGAATTGGGGCAAAAGTAAAAATAAATAAATCAATTCAGTGAAAAGGAATTGGGGCAAAAACGATTATACCCTATTTATTTTTAATTACCGGTGAAAAGTACTTGGTATACCGGCTAAAGTTTAAATGCTGGTAATTGTATAGTTTATATGATGTATAGTGGCAATTTGTTTATTGCCACTAAATAAATGTCACTAAAAGCATTTTTTATTGTAGTGGGAGCAGTATAGATTTTCGTGGACGTGACTTTCAGCTTTTACCATTTGGCTCTGGGAGAAGAAGCTGTCCTGGAATGCAGTTGGGAGTTACCATCGTTCGCCTTATGGTGGCACAGTTGGTGCATTGCTTTGAGTGGGAGCTTCCAAATGGTATTGAGCCTTGTGATTTAGACATTGATTAGAAGTTTGGAATGGTAACATGTAGAGAAAAGCCTTTGCTGGCTACTCCTACTTATAGACTATACAAATGATACAAATAGCATGATTGTTGTGTTCTTTCCCTTCTATTCTACAAATACTGCATTGACTGTACATCTATACCTAATAAAATTGGTATCTTCCAAATGTCTCATTGTACATACATCGAGAGATGAAAGTTCCTAACTGAAGAATCGTCATTGTAACGACTAACGACCCAATTTTCCTAAGTGGTGATGACACCTAACTATTCCCACATCAAGAAAATCATAACCAAATAAGCGAACAATGACATAAATAAAATGTCAAGAATACAGTGGAATGTGTAGCAACCTCAATACATAGGATATAGCTTGTTGTATTTTGGGTTTTGATGAATTAACAAGCTAAAGAGGACCATGTAAAAGGACCTGGTCCTCTGAGTTTTCGTTTTCAGGACAAGCCAGCAGCTGCAAAAACTGCAGTGGTTAGTGGGCACTGCAGCAGAGGCACAGAAAGGACAACAGTCCTCAATCAATGGCGTGCTACTAGGTTGTTTTGTCTCTCTGATACAATATATATGTTTTGCAACCAAGATTATTCAAAAGCAAAAGTCAATTTCAAGGAAGAACTACTTTTTCACGCAGCGAGGGACCTGATTGAGTGTAGCAGCTAGCAGCATCTTAAGTTGTTATTTGAGTTTATTGTCTTGTGCTCTCATATTGTAGATCTATTCCTATATTATAAATGATAATAGATCATGTCAGTTTAAAGGATTGTGAGTTGAGTTTGCGGCTAGAGTTAGCCTAGTTGTGTTTGCTTGAAGTCTATGTTAACTAGAGGTAGTTGATATAGTGAGCAATAGAGTTATTTCTTTGTGTCTTGTAATATAGGTGTTACAAGGTGCTTAGGATTAAGAATTTAATCCTTTGTGAGTACTCGAGTTTGTATTCACAAGTTGCTTGAAGTTATTGGAGCTTTAAGAAATTATGTTTGACAGGTTGTGGTTTTTCATTCCTTGAATAAGGAGGTTTCCACGTAAACATTTGTGTTCTTTACTTTAAACATTTAAATTACTTTCTGTTACTAGAACAGTCAAGGGACCTGGTGTTCTGACTGGTGGTGGAATCATACAACCCCGTTGATACTCGGGTCCAAACCCGCACAAAATGCAGAAAAGATGAGTACGGAGAGTAATCAAGAATTATGCATCCTCAATTGTTGGCTTCTACACTATAACTACAGTCTACAGCTCTTATAATTCTTTTGAATGACAATTCTTAACTAACCTAACGAAAATCATGACAACACATAATAGATTAAACGGAAAAGGGTTAAAATTATCATCGAACTATTCGAAATAGCTCATATATACCCTTTAATTATGTTTGGGGATCAAACTACCCCTGCCGTCTATGTTTTGGACCACAAATACTCTTAAAACGTTATTTTTGCCATTAGAGCTGACATGACAGTCCAACATGGTAAAAATGCATTCCTCTCAATAATGTTGTTCTTCCTTGTTCATCCCTATCACAAAAAGAAAATCAAATATAATTCTTCCATTGTTCTTGTTTGAGTTGTTGTTCGGACTTTGGAACTTCAATTTCAAAGTGTGTTGAAGTTTGTTTGAAGTTGTAATTGCGTGTTGAAGGATTGAGTTCATTGCTTGGGTTTTGGGGCCATAGATTCACAAAATCGATTTTTAAATTTTCAAGCTTTTTCGAACTCTTTCATATATTTTTTTGGGTTTCAACTCAAATCTTCAAACTAAGAAATCAGTTGTTAAATGTCAATTTCCAGCGTCAATTGCAATATCCAAGCAATTTTTAATAACATTCAATTAAATCTGTTCAAATTTTTGCACTTTAAATACCCAACAAAAGCTATAAATTTCTCACCAACAAGCTTTCAAATGAGTAGCTATTTTCGAGTTTCAACACAAAAAAAATGATTCAAGAGTTTTTCAATATCGTTCAACCTTGGGAATTAAATTTTCAGCCTCAGATTCAATTAATGACATCGAAACCCAAACAATGAACTTGATCATTCAACACACAACTCCTATCTCAAACGAACTTCAGCGCACTTCGAAAGTGGAATTTCAAAGTCCAATCCAATAACCCAAACAAAAACAATGAAAGAACTATTTTTGATATTTTTTTAAAAAAAAAATTGTGATAGAGATGAACAAGGAAGATCTATTATAAAATAATATATTGTGGATGTCCACTACATCAAGAATTTACTTCATTACTTTCCTCCATTATGAAGATAATCATAACCTCCATAACCTCCACCTTTATGACCATTATTCGTGTAACCTTTCACTTCCATAATCTCCCCCATTATATTCATGTTAATGTCATGTTTATGACTAATCTTTTGTATGCCTCTATGTTACACTATAAATAGAGGCATAAATGTTCATATTGTATAGACTTGAATACTTTGAAGAATAAGAAATACCATCATATCTTGTCACTATATTTCTACTGTTTTCATCTTCTATATCTCTTGTCTTATATTCTTCTTGTCTTCATCTTTATATTGTTCTTTTGTTCTTAAGTTTTATAACACGTTATTAGCACGAATGTTCTACCATTGCAGGATTGAAGCAAAATAAATAAAAGGAGGTAAAATAATTGTGTTTATTTTTTTCTCTCGGGAGCAAGGTAAATTATTGTGGAATCTATTTTATATATTACTTGTGAACAAGGTGAATTATTAATATTATTGTCATTGTGCATTTTTTCACCAATGACTATATATACTTTCTTTTGTATGTGAAACTTATTTTATATTTTATTTATGATTATGCTCATTGTTTTGGTTATTACATAAGTTTTTACTTTTATTTTGTTTTGTGTGTGAAATATTTTGGATTCACATGGAAATTGAAAAAGGGGTGGTGGTAGTGAACAATTTTATTTTAGTGTGATTGGAACTATTATTTTCTTAGTGTGCAATTGATTCTTTGATGTATAACGGTAATTCACTAGCTTAACACTACAACCAATTCGATTATTAGGGACAAATAATTTCGTCATTTATAAGTCCTATTTTGTCACTAAAAATTTTGTGAGACGAAAAATAATTTGTCAATCAGTCGTCACTAAATGTGTGTCGCTAAAAGTATTATTCAACTACAAAAAGTAAAATCATCCCCAAATGCTTAAACATTTGTGACAAATTTATTTGTCGTAAAAAGTATATTTTTTTGTAGTTAATAGTATGTTTTGTCACTAAAAAGGTTATTACTACCAACAAAATTATATCATCACTAATTATTTTACTTCAATCAGTGACGACATCAATTGTTTCTAAAGCTATATGTATTTCGTAGTTGAACAAAATCTAATTTTGTCACTAATGACTATATTTTCTATAAAAAAAATTATTTTGTTCTTAAATGTATTGATTAGGGATAAATTTATTATTATATTAAAAAAAAGGTTAATGTTATTATCCCTCCCATCTCAATTTTTTTAACCCCTCCCCAGGAGGGGCTCCCACATCAGATCAACTCTCTCTTGTCTCTCTTTTTTTATTTTACTCGTATACGTGCCCGCGCGTTGCGCAGTTAATTGATAATAATCATAAATATATAATATTAATTTATTAAAAAATTAAAATTTTAACTTATTATAAGATAATATTATAAAATTTATTTAAAAATGTTCAGCATCTTGATGTGTTATAATAGAATATTTATGTAAATAAATCAATATATAAGCTTAGTTCATTATCTAAATTTGACAATAATAGTCTTTTATCATTATTTAATTTATTTAAAATGTATACTATCCTCTTGTTAAAATAATAAAGATATAAGAAAATTTAATAGTTAGATTTAAATAAAACATAACTAAAAAAAAAGTCTTATCATAATGCTAAGCTTACAAAAAGAGTACTTTTAGTCACCAGAATATTAAAATGTAGGCATGCTATTCACAATTTTATATTTTTCTTTTAATTTTTCTTAAAGTCATATATCAATTATGTGTTATTTAAAAATATATATGTAATTATATGCTATTGTTTAGTACAATATAATTCTTACAGTTGAATGATACTTTCATAAATTAATATTTTAAAATTAATTTAGTTTTAGTTGATTTTATATTTTATTTTATTTTATTTTATTTTGTCTCTTTATTTTGGCTTTTTAGATATGTATTTATTTTTCAAATCAACTATAAAAATTATATTTTAATTTGAATAATCATACACCAAGCAGACTCTTAGTTAAACATACTCCTTCAGTCACCGTGAATTATTTTATTTTGAAATCATAATTCAATTTTATTTTTAGAATATATTAGATCTGATTTTTTTTTTAAAAAAAGTATTTCATAATTCAATTTTATTTTTAGAATATATTAGTCAAATTTGGCTAACATATTTTTAATTGTATATTCCAATAAACAATTAAGATTTTGGAGCATTTTTTAGGAAGAGAATAATGTAGTTAACTATTATCAAAAATTGAATTTTAAAAAATGGTAAAAAGTTAAAGTAATATTTTAGTGTTTGCAATTTTTATTCTATAATTTAAATTTATTTAAATAATACTCTAAATGTTTTGATATTGAATGAGAAAGTTGTACGTAGTGGAGTCATATTAATGTGTAGTTTTTGTTGATTGTTTTATGCGTATTTTACATGTGCTTCTTAATTATTTTTAAAATAATTAAATAGATGTCAACCAATAAAGATAAGTATTCTAATTATTAAGATAAGAATAAGAGTCCAAAATAACATAAACTTTAGCCACATGTACAATCAGTTATCTTTTAAAAAATAAAAAAGAGTTATATTAATTGTGGTAACTCTCTTTAAAAAGATTATGTTAATAAAACACGTAGTGTTTTCTTGACTTTTTAAAATTTAACTATTTTGTAATTTATTTTTTTAATTTTTGATTTTTTAAAATCTGAATTTTTAAAATTAAATAATTGAAAATTTTTGTGATGCTGACATGTAACACTTTTTACTTCTCTTGTTATATATAAATTGAAGTTATATATAAGATTGAA